AGAATAAAAATGTAATAGGTTTTAAAGACATAAATACCCTTATACAAAATAATAATGGTAAAATAATTATAATAATAATAATAATAATAATAATCATCATCATACAATTACAAACGTGTCGTCGTCGTCATCGTCATCATCATCATCATCATCTTAACTATAACAAAGCTATATGGTTTGGGAAGTAATTAATGTTACAATTATTATTTTGGTGAGTACTTATTGTTAAAATTATTGTCTCTATCCTTATTAATATAAAATAGCCACAACATCCTTTACTATATATAAAAAAAAAAAAAAAGTACAACATTTGAAAAATAAAATAGCTATTTTTTTTTTCTCGTCCATAACAAAGGATTACATTTATTGAATTAATGGAGTTATTAAATGTTATGATATTATGATTAAGGATTCCAATTTCCGATTAATAGAAAATATGAAACGATGCAATATTAATTAAATCTCTGCTTTACAATGAAAGTCTATTTGATATGCTATTGTTATTTATAGTGCTTCTTGGGATTACAATATTAATTAAATTTTCGATGAAAGCCTATTCGATATCTGAAACAGTGCAATTAATGCAAGCCTCTACATATAATTTTTCTCCCTGGCAAGTGCTTCAAAGAAATGGCAGAAGCGAGAAGGGATGAAGAAAGCAAATGATGCAGGCCGTGGGTCAATTATTGGACTTCAGAATAAAAAAAAAAATCATTTGAGCCATAATTAAAAATTTAAATATATATAAATGTATATATCGTATGGGTCTTTAATGTTTTTCTGGATTTCTAAACTTACTTTTAAAAGGAAAAACATTTGAATTATCTCAACAAAAAGTGATATTGGGCTTATAGAATGACATTTGGGTTTATGGAATGACATGTGCATAAATAATATATTATATAATCATATAAAAAAATGTGTTCAATTAGAGTTTAAATTTATTCATACAAAATTTGAAATTTACTTTCTAAATGTAATTATCTTAGTTATTATTCGTATTGTGAAAATTATAATATAGATGAAATACAATTAAGAATAAATCAATGTAATTATGTAAATTCTCTTTATAAGTTTATTTAAATATGTACATAATTAGAGATTATATTAACCCACTACTGGAAATTCTGAAATTTCCGACCACCTGAAAGTGATCTTAAATCAAGTTAAAAGTCTTCTTCCGACCACTTTTGGTATCCGGAAAAACCTTTGTTGCTATTTCCGACCACTTTTTGGACTTTTTGGTATCAACTTAATTTAAGATCATTTTCAGGTGGTCGGAAATTTCAGAATTTCCAGTAGTGACCATACAACATTTTAAGTTTAATTTTAATTGTAATTTTGTATTCTATACAAATAATAAATACTTGACCAATGGAAGCTCAAAAATATTATTATATTAAACAATTTAAAATATTTTTATTTTTTCTATTTTTTATTTATATTTATAATAACATAATTTTTTCCCGTGCATCGCATCCCGGTGAATTACTAGTAATAATAATAATAACAACAACAACAACAACAACAACAACAACAACAATAATAATAATAATAATAATAATAATAATATATTAAATGTTATATATATTTATTTATTTAATGTGCAAAGGATATTTTTGGCATTTTAATATAAAAGCTGTACCGAAGAACATGAGAATAGCTAATGCCAAGGCCCTTCTTGCAAAGGGAATAATTCATTCTTACTAATGTTATTTCCATGACAAAATGATTAAAACAAACAATAAAATATGTCTATTTCAATGAAAGTTATTTCATTCTTGACCTATTCTATGAACCCATTAGTGAATTGACAACTTGACATAAATGAGAGTCCGTATTAGATAAAACAGACGTTAATTACTACAGCAAATATGAATCATCAGCTAATTAAGGTAGGCTTGGATAGAGTATGATGTAGGATGGTGGTTTATGTTATTAGTGAAGTTTAGGGAAAAGAGTCAAATAGGCCCTCGAACTTTAGCTTAAAGTTAATTAGGTCTCTAAACTTTTTAAAGGTGCAGTTACACTCATCAACAATTCATTCAGGTGCAATGAAGTCCAAAAACAAGTTAATGACCTGCTATCACAGGTCATTAGGGTTCAGGCCACCTTCTGGCGAATTTTCCGACAAAAAAAATGTGACCGGCAACCGACCCAGATTTGCCGAAAATTTCGCTGGTCACTTATTTTGTCGAAAATTTCGCTGATCACTTTTTTTTTGCCTGAAAATTCGCCGGAAGGTGGCCTGAACCCTAATGACCTGTGATAGCAGGTCATTAATTTGTTTTTGGACTTCATTGCATTTAAATGAATTATTGATGTGTGTAATTGCACCTTTAAAAAGTTTAGAGGCTTAATTGACTTTTAAGCTAAAGTTTGAGGGCCTATTTGACCCTTTTCCCTGAAGTTTATAAGGGGGCAAGGGGCAACTCTAGAAAAAAAATGTTGGAAAATTTTTGTGAGTAAAGAAAAAAAAATTAGAGCTAAGGTTGGGCGTTAGTTGCGACCACTCTCAACGTACCTACTTGCACTGGTGTGTGCAACGGTACCTAAGAGCTCAAAAATCAATGAAAATTTGAATTTGCAAGATCTCCTCAACCCCCTATCTTTCATATCACAAAAAAATATGATAAAACCACGAAAAAAAAAAAAAAAAAAACTCATTGCTAGAGTTGCTCTAAGATGGTTAAAGTAAAAAAAAGAAAAAAAACATAGGTATTGTAACATCACTGATGTGAAGATTAGATATGCATGCAATAAGTTCGGTGGTTCTTATTCGAATGCTATGTCAAAAAAATTTGAGGGATAATTTTGAAAGAATTTTATTATTATTAATTAATTACTTTATATAACCAAAATACCCTTATTCTTTTCAATTAAGAAAGAAAAATCAATATGTATAAAAATTTTACATTAGAAAAAAACTAATAATAAGCTATAAGTTCTATTCGGTAATGTTGACAAAATAAACTCGTAACTTAAAATAAGAGCTTATTTTGAACGCTACCTAAGGTAGCGTTCGGAAATAAGCTAGTAGCTTCCTAATTTTTTTTTTTGTTTAATCTTTGTCCTTATTATTTTAACGAAATGACATCCTTTACCTTTCCCAGTTAAAATCATTTTCCCTTCTCCTTTATCAACTTTCACCGCATTAATAATAATAATAATAATAATAATAATAATAATAATAATAATAATAATAATAATAATAATAATAATAATATTATTATTATTATTATTATTATTATTATTATTGTTGTTGTTGTTGTTGTTATTGTTATTGTTATTATTGTTATTGTTATTATTATTATTGTTATTGTTATTATTGTTATTGTTATTAATTATTATTTTATTATTGTTATTGTTATTACTATTGTTATTATTATTATTGTTATAATAATAATAATAATAATAATAATAATAATAATAATAATAATAATAATTATTATTATTATTATTATTATTATTATTATTATTATTATTATTATTATTATATTATGAAGGAGATTAGCAACAATATTTTGCTACTTCATTATGGGATGCTAGATCATGATTATGCTAATAATTTTATTTCAAAATATTTTTTTTTGAAGACAAAACGTTAAATTTTAATATTAAACAAACTAATTTAAATTTTATGAAGATGTCTTTTTTTATATTTATTAGCTTATCAAAAGGTTAATTTTACCAAACACTTTCAAGCATAACAGCTAGTTTAAAAGCTCTTCAGTTTTTGCTCCTAGCAAATGGCCCTGTTTGGTAAAAAATTGGTCTATAGGTCAATTTTGACTTATTTGACCACTATTAATTGTTTGATTTAGTTAAAATATCAATTAAGTGTTTGGTTAGTTAGCTTTTTGCAACTCCAAAATGTTAAAATTCAAAAAGCTACTCCAAGTAACTTTTTCAATTAGCTTTTTTTAAAAAAGAAATTATACCAAACAGTTATCAGCTAACAACTAATTTACCAAACACTTTTCTACAACAGCTAATGTTATCAACTAGTTATACCCTCTGATTAACACAATCAGCTAACAGCTAACAACCATTTACCAAACAAGGCCTATAGCTTTTCAGCTTTCAACTCCTTTTAAACTTTCAGTTACTTTTCAACTACGTTTGCCAAACATAGCTATAGAGTAGCGTTGCAAAATAAACTATTATTTTAAACTACTAGCTTATTTTTGAAACATTATCAAATAAAGCTTATAGCTTATTAGTAGCTTAATAAGCTATAATCTATGCCAAACAGAGTCAATATGGTACAAAAGTGTCCAATCAAACCCCACATAAGTTTACTAATAAAAATATATTACATTTTTACTAAAATAAAATTACATGATTATTACCAATAAAACCCCACATAAGGATACTATCCAACAACACTCTCCAACTTAATTGACGTAAAGTAGGCTTAGTAACATTAAGATTATATTCTCGAATTTTTAGTTCTCATCTTTTATTGATTACACATTTAATTCGATAGTATTTGGAAGAAAAAATCAATGTTTGAACTAAGATTGTGATTTTGGTCTTTAAAGGTCAATTGTATGTTGTTATATCTAGAGTTAGAAATCTCAAAGGTCTAAAAATTGTGATCCGTGGTGACTCTAAAATTGTAATTCAATTACTACTGTAGTTTACTAAGTTCTTAAAAATTTGTAATATTAAATACTATGTACTAAATTTTTAATATAGTTTAAGATTTGTAATAATCACCCACCTTAAATATTATTTTAATTATAAATATATTTATGTTCATAATTTTATCATAGGAATTCACACATAATAATTATTAAATAACAAAAATTTTATATATAAATAAACCTCATATACAGTATATTTTTATATATAAATAAACCTCAATGCGATTTTCTCTAATAAATAATAATGTTTATACTTATAATATGGAGTAACTCAGGTTAGACTTAACCACATAGCCTGTTTAAGTGAGTCAGTGAGCAAAAGCTTTCACTTTTCAGCTATCCTAATTAAAGAGAGAGAGAGAGAGAGAGAGAGAGACAGAGAGAAAATTTGGTGTCCCCATGGACAGAGGGAGAGACAGAGATTTATGGTCTTTCTATAGACAGAGAGAGCGAGTGTATGTGTGAGAAGCGGTTTTGGGATTCGGTAACGTGGACTGCGTTCAGTTGTTGTTGCTCTTCTCCATACACGAAGAGAAGAAATTAAAAGCCAAGAAGAAAAAGCGGTTTTTTCCCCCAGGAAAGTGGTTTTGTTGCTGAGAAGACACAGCCGAGAGTGGTTTTGTAACTGAAAAAAGTGAGAAGAAAAAGAGAACACTACAGACCATCATCTCTCTGCACTTTCTATACAATCTGTTACACCTATACATACACACACCTGTACATATAGGTAGAGAGAGAGATGGGTAGGGGGGGGGGGGGTAGAAATGGATGGATAAGAATTTTGTTGGGTAGTAAATGGATCTTGGGTTTGGTTTGTTTGTCCCTGTGATGATGAATGGGGCAGTGTGGAGTGCGTGAATAGGATAAGAGTTTTCTTCCTCAACCTTCATCCTTTCTTGTTTTATTTTTCCGCTTTGTTTTTTTGGTTTTTGGTTTTGAAATTCTCTATTTTGCTCTGTTTTCTGTAAAGGGTGGGAGTCTTTTTGTGTATTTTTTTTCTGAGCTTGAATGGCTCATGTGGATGTGGGTATTAGAGGAGGAGTTTCTCATGGGGTGCAGAGACAAATTTCAGGTAATGAAATTGATTTTTCCTTTTTAATTTCTTGGCTTTTAATGATCTTCTTCTTGTTCCCTTTCTTAAAAACAGGAAAAACAAATACAAACTCTCTCTCTCTCTCTCCCTCTATATCTGCCTGTTGTAATAATGTGTAGATACTAGTGAATTTATTTGATTCTTTTCTGTTGGGTAAAGAACTTGTCTTTAATGAGATAATATTTGTAGAAGATGATAAGCTAAAACAGAGAAAAAGTTCTCTTATTTGTTTGTTGCTATGGACAATTATGGCTTAGCCATAGGATTACCAGGGAGTTCATGGTTCTACTTTAGGCCTTTTTTTGAAGCTTCAACTTAAAGAATAGAAAAACTGGGCTTTAGTTTGTAGATCCATTTTTGGGTTGTGTATTGGATTTTTGGTTTGCCTTATGATTTGGTTTGGTTGATATGTTATTTGGGTAGGCTTGGGATGTGATGATCTGTCACCAGAGCTATGGAAGTCATGTGCAGGGCCTTTGGTAGATGTTCCTAAAGAAGGAGAGAGGGCTTACTACTTTCCCCAGGGTCACATAGAACAAGTATTTCTTCTTATTCTTCTTATTCAATTGTTCTATGAATTCGAGTCGCTATATATCTCGAAGCTCTAAAGATGATTGTATCTGATGATATGATATACTAACATTTTTGTGCAGTTAGAGGTGTCTACAAACCAGGCTTTGACTCAACAGATTCCTCAGTTTGGTCTTCCTTCGAAGATACTTTGTCGAGTTGTGAATCTTCAATTATTGGTACATTGTTGTTCTATCCGTTTTGACCCGTTTGATTGGGTTTGGTAATTGGTAGAAAATTTTCATTGTTTTCTGGGTTTGGATTGACAGGCAGAAGCGGAGAATGATGAAGTCTATGCACAGATCACTTTACTCCCAGAGGCGGATGTAAGAAATTACTCAATCCATTTTTGTTTTTATTGGTATAGAGAAACTACGAACCGAATTATCAATATGATTGTTACATTCTGTGTTTATGTATTGTGATTGGAATTAAATTGATAATTGTAGCAAACCGAGCCCACCAGTCCTGATGAATGCATCCCTGATCCACCTAAGCGGATTGTTCACTCGTTTTGTAAGATTCTAACGGCATCGGATACTAGTACTCATGGAGGGTTTTCTGTTCTCCGCAAGCATGCCAATGAATGCCTTCCCCCCTTGGTAATTTCTCTTCATCTTTGCCTAGCCGATCCCCCCGCTCTCTTTGTTTTCTTTTTTGCAATGAATATGGGGCTTGCGCTAATTGACTCTTGGATCCTCATATTAGCACATCGTCTTTTCTTGCAGGACATGTCTCAGGCAACCCCAACACAAGATTTGATTGCCAAGGATCTTCATGGATACGAGTGGCGCTTTAAGCACATATTTAGAGGTAACGGCTATGTTTGGTAGAGCTTATAGCTTATTTTAAGTTACAAATCTGTTTGGTAAAACGTGAAAAGGCTTAAAATAATAGCTTATTTTGAAACACTATCTTTTAAGTAGCTTTTCAAAATAAGCTAGCAGCTACTAACTTTTAAGCTTTCAGCTAGCTTATAAGCTAGGTATGCTTAGTTTAAGTTATTAATTGTAGTCAGCATAGATAAGCAGTTCCAATATTTTGATGTTTGTCCCCTACAAACTTTTATCAGGTCAACCTCGAAGGCACTTGCTTACGACTGGGTGGAGTACATTTGTAACCTCGAAGAGGTTAGTTGCGGGTGATGCTTTTGTATTCCTGAGGTACCGTTCTCTGCCCTTTCCACTTTATCCCGCTAATCTGGACTACTGTTTGATTTTGGGATTCATTTGATGCTCCCGTTTTCCTAGTTTCTTTCGATGAAGGCAAGCATAATCGAACTTTATATTCTTTCGAAAATTGTTACAGAGCTGATAATGGGGAATTGCGTGTCGGGGTTCGTCGTCTTGCTCGGCAGCAAAGTTCTATGCCTCCGTCTGTGCTATCGAGCCAAAGTATGCATTTAGGAGTTCTTGCTACTGCATCTCATGCTATTAGAACGGAAACCCTTTTTGTTGTGTATTATAAGCCGAGGTATGGCTGCTTGTGCTTTTTTATATTTGTGTGTCCACAAACACATTTTGTTCAAACGCCCGTTTAACTTTGAGTTATTCCAATATTCTCGTATGTCATTCAGAACAAGCCAATTTATCATCGGACTAAACAAATACCTAGAGGCTATACGCCATGGGTTCTCGGTGGGTATGCGTTTCAGGATGAGATTTGAAGGAGAAGATTCTCCCGAGAGAAGGTTGCTAAGTGCATTTTGCCTTTCTCATTGGTTATCAAATGTTATTCTCGCATCTTTAATTTCTATATATGGTGGTCTATTCACTCAGGTTTTCGGGAACAATAGTTGGGCTGGGAGACATCTCCTCGCAGTGGAAAGATTCAAAATGGCGCTCGTTGAAGGTCTGAGCTAGTTATAAGTTGTATTGGTAGGATATAAATATATAATTCCTTGTTTCTTATACTCGTGTTTACGGTTTTGACCCGTTCAGATTCAATGGGATGAACCAGCTACTATTCCTCGCCCGGATAGGGTTTCACCGTGGGAGATTGAACCTTTTGTAGCTTCTGCTTCTGCAGATATAGTCCAACCCGGGACAAAAACTAAAAGGCCTCGACCCCTTGAACTTCCATCGAACGGTATATCGAACTATTGCTCTAGAAGTCTAGAGTTCTTTTTGTGTTTTATTCCCTCACTGTCTACTAACTTTGAGTATTTTAGAAGATAAAACGACATCTGTTGCTTCTCCATTCTGGTATTCTGGACCGAAATCTGCTGGTGAAACCGTAAGCAATGGTGATCAAGCTTTCTGGCAGTTGAAGCAGAAAGACCTTAACGGAAGGGCTTGCAATGAGAGCAGCGTCACCGCTTCTAGGGCTCATCCGAGTGGAATGTGGCAACCCCCGAGTGGTTCTGAGACGATAGAAGACAGCACAAACATGCCTCCACGGTTGTCGTCTATTTCTGAATTCAGTTCTCCCATCCCGTCAATTGCAAGCAACGGGGCCTTGCTTGACCAAGTGGACAGGTCCAAAAAGTCGGCTATCCGTATATTTGGAATCGAGTTTAGCAACGCTGATAATTATCGTCGGGAGAAAGAAACGCCCTGTTCAAATACCATGCCAAGTAATGCCAACGCTGTTTGTGATGCAAATGGAGTTGGTGCAGTTCAGAAATCAGAGCATCTTAAGTCCTCACGAGAAATAAAACTAGTGGAGGCATCGCTTAAGGATACGCTAAGCAAACCATCCGTTACTACTTCGAGAACTTGCACTAAGGTTGGTACAAGCGACAACTCCTACCTTAGCGTTTTATTATACCCAAGGTTGAAAAAATCGCTAGGTGCCCTCTAGGCGCCTAGGGACCGCCTAGGGCGCCTAGGCGGGCACCTAGGTGGCCTAGCGCCTAGGCCCGATTTTTGCAACACTGATTATACCGTTGGGCGGAGGCCGGTAAAGGGCCAAGTCCATCAATTGGTGGCTAAGGGATTGTTGGGTGGATGCTGGTTAAGGGCCAAGTTCAGCACCCTGTCTCTCGAAAATGTGATGGCGGTCTATAAGGAAATAAAGTTGCACCTTCGCTACTAGCTTTTGGTGTAGTGGTAAACGTTTGATCCTAACAGAACCCTTTTCATATTACTATTTAAGAATTCACCCCCACCTTTCTTCAAATAAGGTGCAAATGGAAGGCTCTCGTTTTGGACGAGCGGTTGATTTGACAACAATGAAGGACTACGATGACCTCTTAAACGAGCTCGAGGAAATCTTTGAACTTAAAGGCGAACTTTGCCCTCGAAGCAAGTGGGAGGTCATATACGCGGATGACGAGGGAGATATGATGCTCGTAGGCGATGACCCATGGCCGTGAGTTTGAACACTTAATTTGAAACAACACGTTGATCTCTCCATCGTTTGCTTTCCATTTAATCTTAATTCTTGATTCGTGCAGGGAGTTCTGCAAAATGGTGAGGCGGATCTTCATATGCTCAAGCGAGAAAGTGAAGAAGATGAGTAGCAAGTGTAAGCTTCCTTTGTTGTCTGACGAGGGTGAAGTGACAATAGTTAGCTTAGAATCAGAGCTAAAATCCGAAGGGTGATATATAGTTCCTCGATTTATCCGGGAAAGGGTCTCTGAATAATATGTACTAGTAGAAGTTTGTTTCCGATTTCGTTTTTTTCTTGCTCATAAAGAATTTAGGAGCAAATCAGAATGCACAGGGTGATAGATGTAAGAAATGTGAATACCAACCTAGTGGTTTGTGAGGACTGATAAAAGAGTAATGGGGCTTGTTTGTTTCAGTCTAAATGGAACAATTGTAGACATTGTTGCCTGTTCATGGCAAAACAATATCTTTTGGGGTTTTTTAAAATTTATTTTTGGTAAGTGGATAGTTGCATTTGAATAAAATTTTGCCTAAAGTTGAAAGTGATAACACAGGTTTGGTTTTTCCCATGTCCCCACCTGTATAATATTGGCTTTTTCAGTTCTGCCATGAATCTGGCAGACTGTTTCTCAAGCTCAGTGGCTGCCCACATGGTTCCTAGTAGTGGCCCTGCTATGGCTTGCATGTGAACACCTTAGTACACACCTCCAATGCTTGTGGTCCCAAAACATTCTTGTGTTTTTTCTTCTTAATTTCTTTATACTTTTCTTTACTTAGACACCTAGCTTCCCAAGTCTTGGGCATGGATCACTTTCTTTAACTTGTTTGCCATACTTTTGTTTATTTGATTAGGCTCCTTGGGAGGTGATGGGTAATATTGAAGGGGCAAATTATACCATGGATTAGGGTTCATTTTGGTGGATCTTGGTCCAAAATGACATTCAGATTATGTGCTTGTAGATAAATTAAAGGCACATAATATGTTAATTCCAAGCACATAATATGTTAATTATAGACATGACAAATTATTGTGTGGATCGTGGTTCACGCAGCTGTGTGGACCACGGTAAAAAACGACGTCGTTGAATTATATGAGTTAGAATAATGTACATTATGTGTTAGAATAATGAAATTTTTGAGAAAAGATAATGTACTTTATGAGTTACAATGATGTGCATTATGAGTTATAAAAATGTATGTTACAGGGGGTCGAGTAAAAAAAAAAAACTCAAAACGACGTCGTTTTGGGATTGTTATCCACACAGTTGTGTGGATTGTGGGCAACAATTATTGTTATAGACATATAATATGTTAAATACATACATAGAATATGCAGTGAATATATTATGTGGATGAAGTTAACATATTTTGTGTCTGTGCTTTGTAGTTAACAAATTATATGACTTCAATTTATTTAGAGACACATAATTTATTAATTGAAAACACATAATATATTAACTGCATATACATATTTTTTTAATTAAATCTATAATGCAAGGTAGATCCTGATTCATGGTATAACAATTCTATTTAAGTGGTCAAATTGTTGTAATTGCATTATTTTTATTTGTCATTAGTTGCTTTAGTTGAAATTTTGTGATTAGTTTGGTAGGTTGCTTAACTAGAGTTCATTCAAATGCACCTTTTAAGGAATGGTGTAATGCTCCCTTCAATTGCTTCTCCATAGGGGTAAACAAAAAAGGGCTAACCAATTGAGTAATCGATGACCAATAATCAAATTAATTGAAAATTTTGATTTTTGGTGTTATGAAGTTTTTATTTATTTATTTATTTTTAGTTATTCTAGTTGGTTATAACTATTTTGATGTTTAGGAGCTCAATAGGTATTTTTTAAGTACTACTTATTCTCTTACGATGTAGTATATGTCTATATATACTTTCTTAACTTAGCTCAGTAGGCATTTAAATGTAGATTGTAGAGATATGTGATAATTAGTTATTAGTTATAAAGTTAAAAAATGAAGTGTTTATTTCAGTTTTTCTATTGGTTATGATTATGTAAATGTTTTTTAATATTACTAGGATTTGCACCCGTGCGATGTACGGAATGAATTTGTTAAGAATATATGAATTTATATATAATTATTTAAATTAGAACATCAAATATTATATAGTGCACTTAAAGATATAGTTTAGATCGTTTATATATTTTAATGATATCATTTCTTGAATTTTTATAAATAATTGCTCAAATTAATAGCTAATGTCTAGATGTAAGCATGCGGTGCTATAACTTTAAAGATTTTATTTATCATTGTTTAGTATTTTCATAAATTAGGCAAATGTGCTCGTACTCTAACAGCTCAGTTATAGAAATGAATTGCTATCCTTATTCATTTGTATGGAAGATATATTTTTTTGTCTAGATATATAACAATTTTTGCATTAAAAAAAAAAAAATTAATATCACCGATTATGTTTACACATTATTGAAATCACTTTCTAGACGACATTGCTAGTGGCAACACAATCTTGTTCATCTTCATCTAGAGCTAACACCTTCAATCCAACATGACGGGTTACTTGGGTGAAAATATATAATGGTAGAATCTCAATTAGTTATCCTTTTATATTTTCAGTCAATTAGTCAATTAGAATATCAAATGCAGTGATATTTTTTTATAATTTTCGTTTCATTTTTAATTGATGATGTAGATATTATTATTGAAATATTTCCATTCTTTACTTTTACTATTTTTTAAAATATGCATTTATTATTGATAATGTAGAATATTATTATTGAAATATTTCCCTCCAATTTTTAATTTTCATTCCATTTTTAATTAAAATGCAATGATCTGACCATTTTTTTCTTGTTTTTTAGTCAATTATGGA